AGGGGGCCCGGGCCCCCGGCTGGATGGGGCCCGGGCCCCCGGGAGAACGGCCCTGAGCCCCGGGTGGACGGGGCCGGACCCCCGGTTGGATGGGGCCCGGGCCCCGGGAGAACGGGCCTGGGCCCGCTGGGTGGATAGGACACGGGCCCCTGGGTGGATAGGGCACAGGCCCCCGGGTGGATGGGGCCCGGGCCCCGGGAGAACGGGCCCGGGCCCCTTAGGTGGATGGGGCACGGCCCCCCGGGTAGATGAGGCCAGGGCCCCCCGATGGATGGGTCCGGGCCCCCGGGAGTACCGACCCCAGGCCCCGGGTGGACGGGGCCCGGGCCCCCGGCTGGATGGGGCCCGGGCCCCCTGGTGGGCGGGCCCCGGAGCCCCGGGTGGACATGGCCCGGAGCCCAGGTGAACGTGGCCCGGGCCCCCGTATGGATAGGGCTTGGTCCCCCATGTGGATAGGGCCCGAGCCCCCGGGTGAATGGGGCCCGCTAGGGTGACCCGCTTGCTTCGCAACGCGAATAAGGGGTATTTTCGATCGGTGGGCGTTTGGTTGGTCTTGTGTCTGTGGGTTATGTATCCATTACGGTCGATTGCCTTTTGACGGCTAAGCATTTTGGTTTTGGGAAAAAATATCCATCGCATCGAGGTGCTCGTGTCTGATAATAACCATGCGTTCTACTATAGAACATGCCAAGTGTATTTCATGACATAGGTTGGCGTAGGTTATTGAAGAGTGAAAGCCATCGATGAATTACTATGTAGAGGTTTGAAACATTTATATTCTTAAGAATATTGTTGCTCGTCATGCAAAAGCGATGATTGGACCTTGGTCACAATTGAATGCTCTTCCAATCTATGCCCATTTCAATTGTCAAACATACCAGGTTATGTAGCAAAACCCCTGTAATTAAGTAAGTCATAAGCAAATGCTATTTTCTCCAGCAATTTGTTCCACCTTGTTTTTGATCAATTAGCTTTTCACAATTTTCCCATGAGAGGCGGTAGGTACATTTCTCTTGCCAACAAGCGTTGTTTGAACCCGCTCCGTCTAACAGTCACCCAAAAATAGCATTAAGTCCAAAATCCGTCCAAAACGTCAATTTTTCAAGCATAAGTGCCCTCACGGGTGCACGTGGCGCGTGCCATCCCTGCACCGCACACCATTCGATAGCCCGTTCGATTCTCATGCACGATACTGTGTTCCTCGTGCCGATCGGACCCACGGTTACCGAGATACTGCACGGGGACCGGACCCGTGTCGGGCAAGTTGAGCCATTGTCGCCCATTTTTGCAAGCCGATTTATGCATGTAAAGTCTATGACGCGAATTTGCACTTTTTGAGCACGCGCCATGTGCTCACCACCGGCCCGATCGAGCTGTGACTCTTCACAGGCACGTTACCCATCCTTGTTCTATAAGTTGCGCGAATTTCAGCGCACTATGGAAGTTACGTCGCGATCAGCCGCTTTTTTACGCGAGTTCTTCGCGAAAAAAACCTTAGGGGGTTGCATCAACCCCTCCCCCCTGTGCCGGCGAGGGTTAAAACTTCTTACGAGCGAATTCACGTAATGAAGAAGAATAAAAGCACAATCTACTACAGCAGCCAATAGATGACTTAGGACAGGCACATGGGACTACTTTTAAATCTTGTGCGACAGAAGCAGGCAACAGTTCCGATTGCATATAATATGCTATGCATATTGCGGAATTGGGGCTCATATCGGACTCGAAAGATACGAAGTCATACGTCATAGTAACATATTTCTGTCGTGGTCAATTTGCGTAAAAAGTGAAGACCGGGTGATTACCGAGCTACTGTTCTATGCAAATTTTCTGATTCAAACTCGCTCAGGGTTATCGTGCAGGTAAAGGGGGCCCGCCCAGCAGAATGCGTATGAAATATGGAGAGATTCTGAAAAATGGGTGGGGGCCCGCACACTAGGGGGCCCGCTTTGGAAGCGATGACCCCCCCGAAACGAAATCCTGGCTGCGCCACTGGGCTGTCATCTGAGCTCACCGTAAAGAATGTAGATATTTGGCGTCGGATGCTGCGAACGTATCCCTGCCGTCAGCCGTCAATGTGGGGCCTTGGTCTTTGTTATCCTCCAAACAGCTTCGGGCGACTCCGGTCCGTCAGCGAACGCTAATCACCCGGTGCGAAGTGTCTCAATTGGACGGAATGTATGCGCGTGTGAGTGGGAGTGTGCTGACAAGGCCTGACCGAGCGGCCGCCGCGGGCGACTGGTGGTCCGATTACCGGTCCGGCGTACAATTAGGTGTCAGTCAGGACTCAGGGATGGGCCTGGCGCGGCCGGCTCACCGCAAAAACGGAAATACCCGCCCGAGCCAGCCGTGGAGTGAGTGTAAGCGGTGAATGGGATCGCTAACAACTGATGGCATAATCCCCGCCCAGTGCGAGTATGTGGTCGGGTCAGAAGAGAGAGGAATATAAACGGAGAAGACATTAATAGGAAAGCATGCAAGATAACATTTGCGCCCCGTTTCTTCTCGAGTTTCGTTGATGGCTAGGCAACAGCTGAGCGTCGTCAAGCAATCCTACCATGTGACCGATTTGTCATTCTGTCCTGACTAAATATGCCACACCTGGCGTAGGTACCTAATTGGTGCAATCCAAGTTCATGAAAGGAATGTCTATATAATTGCTGTTGTCCCTGATAAGCATACCGGGGGCATGTGCCGAGGGTTCTAACAAGGCTCGACCTTGATCGAGCCGGGACGTGATGCCACGTCTGATGGATGGTCCATCGGTCCGGCTGGTCGTCGGTGACCTCTGATTGGCTCCCGATAGTGGTAATGAGTCGCCAGGTCGCCGGGTCAAGGTCAGTGCGCGACATTTAGAGACGGGCTGGCTGCTGGTGCCGATAGGGTCATACGGCACACCGCGCTATCGGAGATCACTATCAGAACTTTACCTGGGTGAGAAGTTTGTTAGCAAATGTCTTCACCTATACCTAACCTGGCGGTCTGTCCTGTGTGGCACTGACCGCATGCGATATTCACGGTTAGACTCAAAAAGGGAACCACGAGAGGCTTCAACCATGAGTAATCACAGTCTCACAGGTCGGTCATCAATCCAATATCCAAAGTTATTCCTGCCTGTCTAACGTATGGCGGAGGTATATGTACTATGCGATATGCTGCATTTAAATGTGCATCTTTGCCGGAAGCATTGAGACTGCGACATAGCGTATGTGGTTGCCAAATACGCTTTCCATCCTATACCAATCTGCCCACAAAGGACCGTGCCGAGGCCAGCTGCCGGGCTCGTGTACCGTCGCAGGAACGCTCGGCGCACGTGGGCCGTGTCGGCGGCGGCGCCTTTTATCGCGGCTCCTGTTGACACCTGCGATAAGCTCGCACCAGTGCTGTCCTCGCTGTTACGCGCGCCGCACGCCGCGGGCTCACCGGAGGCGATCCTCTGGTGGCCCGCAGGCGTTGATGGTGTGTCACCCTGACGGTCTGAGGCTCGGCAAGCACCGTTCGCCTGGCGTCCAGCCAAACTTCCCAGCCCTGGAAACGGCTAAGGTCTAATGATGTAGCCACAGTGGCGCGCGGCGGATTGCGGATTTGTCGAATATGAGCAACACTCATCGCGCTTACCGCAGCCAGCTGGAGTCGGGACGATTTGGAGGCGCGCTGACTGAACTGGGATTGCCGTGGGATTAGCGTACAGATGGCAAATGGCCGCCGATTTCGGAGTGACTGAATGTCCCCTCGGGGCTAAGCTGCGTCTCGTTCTTCCTCCGCTCCTCGCGGATTGATATAACTACCAGCCTCGTGTCTCGGTGAGCGCCTAAGCGTCCCGTGCCGCCCCTCGGACCGGCAGGTGCCGGCCGGCGGCGGCGATCGGAGCTGATGGGCGAGTGTCGGCGTCAGCGCAGCAGCTGCCGATGATAGCCGGCGAGCGGCGCCGCTCGAGGCCGCCACAGATCGTAATCGGCCGCTCCGCCGCGCCGAAATCATCCTCATTACACGGTCACGCCCCGTGCTGGGAAGGGCCGGCGGCGGCGGAGTGCCGCCAGCTCGGCAGCGACGCGCCGCGCCGCCGCCGCTCAGGGCGGCCTGGCAATCCACCGGCCTTATCAGCGGGATATGCACTATGCAGACAGACGGACAGTCAGATAGGCCCTGGAGGCTGGAGCCGGCCACTCAGTTGGCCGTCTGTCCAACAGGCGGAAATAGCGACGCTATCCTTCACACCTGGACGTAACCACACTAAATGATAAGCAGCCTCTTAAGTAGCCAGGAAAGCTCAAGGCCTTTAATGCTCCCTCTGGCTCACACTTTGCAAGCATTAGCACGTTGTTATCAGCAATGCAATGACGAATAGACATGACATCAGCCTATGAACGGCTTATCCCCAAGTCCAACCTCGTGGACCGGACGGGCCACTCAGCTCCAGACACGGGGCTGGTTCTCTTGTGACACCGCGTCAATCAGAGCTCAGCTTTGGGTCCAGAGTGAGACCCGGGAACGACCTACTGCCAAAGTCATCGTCATGGTTTGGAGGCCACCTGCTGTCTCCAAACTGGTGAGCCGCACTACTATTCATGTTTTATAGACATTTGCTGAATTATCGGTAATAGTCCCTTGTTTTGGAAGCAAATGCTATCGGTAACGTTGCATAGCAATCATGCGTAATTTATGTCAGCATTCAGCAGACTGAAGACCAAAGCAATCGAGAAGTCCGTCACAGTCGCCATCCATGTCTGTTATGGCTCCTCCTGACCTCAAAGCCCAAGACATCGTCGATGTGGGATCATCGACGATAACGACGATCATCAAACTTTGCCACTAGCTTCCTCTCCTCTCGTGACCACGTCATGTCATGCACCACTTCTACACTATCACCGACTGTCATCCGTCAGTCTCCGGCTTTCATACACCACCGCATCACCACTGCCCTACTGGCTTTCTCCTGAGTTGAGTCTCGTTGTTTCCAGTCCATAGCTGGCCTTAGCAGAGCCACGCCGAACACAATATCACTCATTTCCGCTCCCTCTACCCTGCTGTCCGTCGCCGTTGGCTTCCTGTTTCTGAAGCTCCTCCATCTCCTGCACCAGTCGCGCCACCTCGCCACGAATGATGGGCTCGTACTGTTCACCTCGACCCAGCTGACGCATCTCCGCCAGGAACTGACGTCGCTCCTCCACCTCCTGCCAGAGCTCCTCGAAGCGGTCCTCCTGAGGAGGTGTCCTCTCCGGCTCCTCCGACGGCGACATGTCCTCGCCCGGCTGCTGGCGGCCGTGGGTCATCACGTAGGCCAGCCGCTCGCGCTCGGCGTCCCGGTCGCGGCCGGGTCGTGGCCGGTACGCCGGTGGCGAGCCGTGCTCGTTCTCCAGTCGTGTGATGGTGTCTCGGGTCCTTCGGCCGCCTCCATTGTCTGTTTTGCAGACGGATACAGCGACGGGACGGCGACCGCCTCTGGGTCCGCGCCGGGCCGGTGCTGGCAGCGGCTGTCCCGACCGCAGGGACTGCTCAAATAGACGCTGCTGCTGCTTGGGCACTCTGGTCTCCTCCATGAGCAGCTTCACCAGCTGCAGCGTGGAGGCGCTGTAAGACGGCCGGGCCACGTTGAAGATGCCGGCATCAATGGAGCGGGGTGGTGGACCAGCCATCTTGAACGGTGAGAAGATCGCAGCAGGTAGACGGTTCTGTCTGCGCCTCGGTTAACACTTGACGCTTTGCAGATAGCACGAATTCACAGCGATCAGCAGTTTCGATGCAGCAAATTGGTGAAACTTCTTGGCGTCGCTCGTTACAGTTGATACGACCTCATGATCTGGGCCGAGACAGCGATGTCCGACACTCTGGCCATTTCACAACGGGGCACATCACATCGACGAACTCACTTGGCCTCAACTCGTATACGGTGCTGTTGCGCAAAATAAAGGCGTCCTCTTCTTGTTTCAATACCTATACGGAAGGTGGCTCTTGAAGCTTAACAGCCCAGCGCACACTCAGCCCAAATGTGCCATGCACCCATGCACCAACGGGCGTGCGCAAGGCGATAAAGGCGTGCGATCAACTGATCAAACAAACTCGTTTCTATGGAAACGGGCGTTTACCTCCGGCTCCGCTCGATATATGACGTCAGTATGGATGTCACTCCGGCTCAAAGCCAGCTGCTCGAAATAAGTGAAAAGGTGATTTGAAAGTTGCATATTCATTTTACAGTTACCGTGTTTCTTTGTCTGCGATCATATAAAGTTTTAAATGAATGCCATAAGTTCAAAGTTGGAGCCCACTTTATACCTCCATAGTCCATAGGAGTAAAGGTATTTTAGCTTCGCCTGTTCTACCAAGATTGCTTTAAGACACCTAATTGACAGCATGCTGACTGGTTACAGCAGTACCTACGAGGCACTTACACTCCCTTTAACATAACGCTGGTCTCGAAGTTGAGCGTCCGCTCGGCTAATGGGTATTGACGAACACGGTCGTTTTTTCGTACTTTATCTGTACTGAACGTGAGAAACCAAAACCACACAAGAGAAATCAAAACACCGTCTTTTTGTTGCGAGTGACCAAAGTATCGATGTCCCCCCGTATCTCATGCCAGATCGAAGACTGGCGCCGGGCCAATCCTGCAAAACAGGCCCTGGCGACGTGGCGACATTTAATTGCATTAAATGCATTTTGCAAAATGAACGTGACGGCTGCTACTGCAAGTCGCCGTCGGTCGGCGAACTCTCCAGTCCGCACTCCGCCGTGTCACAAGGAGCCGATAATGCAGTATTAATGAGGACACCGCATTAATTAGTTTCCATTTAGGCTGGTGGCGAGGTTCGTGCGGGCTGTGTGATCGGCCGTCTATCAGGGCCAGCCATCGGCCGTCGCTGTCTCTTTGTCCCAGCGTCAGGTCGACACGGACGGCCGCCGTCCCCGTCCCCTGTCGCCTGTCGTGACTAGAGGGAGGGACAAAGCAGGCGTGGCACTTGACACTGGACTCCGGACACTATCGCACTCAGTCGCAGGTCGATTGACGCCTACCCTGATCGAGCGCGCTTTCAGTACCTACTCCTGTTAAATCAAATACACCAAGCGATGCAAATACATATGCTGAGATTCAGACAGACTTACGATAAGCTCAGAGCTTTCCAACGTCAGCGACTCAGCTTCACTGCTAAACTCAACTTGAAGCACAGGTGAAAGATCTCTGCCGAGTGCTGAGCGATGCCGTCGGCATTTGGTATTATATCCTAAGTCCTAACCTTACTGTGGGTTCGTCCGTCTGTGCCGTCCTATTCTCAACAACACGCCACCGCCACGCCGATGGGTCTGCATTTTACGTTAACATTTAGACGGTTACGACCAAGTTACGACTGTCGCTCACGCATGAAGTATGTACAAAAATGAGCCGGACGGGCTGGCTGCTGTCGGTGATAGTCCATCGCCGTCGGTAATTAATGACCTCACTCTACCGGCGGTGACGTTATACATTTTGCGGTGTATGAACGCACCTGATATGGTCGAGTCAGACATCGCGCATAGCCACAACATTATGACAGAGCATGCACTAGATAGCAATGCAGAAGCCTCTGCAAGCCCTGACATCTGCTATGTATAGTCGACTACAGAATGATGTTCCACTCCTCAGAAGCTATCAGTTGACCGGAGCGCTAAATTGTGCCGTTTATCACGCAATTAAGCATGTCGATTGTGAGCATTGGGACTAAGCTATAATTTGTGAACTCAGTCCGTGTGATGCGGCACAGCCTACCACTCCAGGCAAATAATTGCTTGTAAAAAGTGGAACATCATTCTGTAGTCGACTATACGTACTTACGCAGAACAGTACAGCGAGTGTAATTATGTATATTATAGTTTTGTCTTCGATGTAACACTCTAGGGCCTAGCAAGACCTTATCTCCAATTCGATGATGACCCGATAGCTGTGCTTTATTTACTGGCGGGGAGAAGGCGCCGAGGTGTGAGACGGTATTGAGTTACATACAGCATTGTGATGCGATGGGCCCGTCGTGGATACCGAGACTTTCAGGTGTGTGTTTGAGTCACCGTCTCCAGGCTGTGCTCCAGGCTGCGGGGAGGGGGAGGAGATCGTTCCATGTCTCCGTGACGACTCCATTGTTGTACCCGTCCGCTGCAGTGCTGAAGGGGTTGCTCCTCCCCCTCCCGAGTAATTGCCGACCTCCGACGGCCACCGTCTGGTGTCTCGGCTTTTTTACCTAAACTCCGGCGGCAGGTCGGGCCGGGGTGCAGGTAATGGCCCCTCCCCCACCGACTCACTGTAGGCCGGCAGCCCTGAAAAGCGCTAGAAATTCCTCCAAACTGACTGTCCGCAATATGAACAAAATATGTATCATTAAATCCCAAATTGATCGAAGAATACGATTCCGATGCCAGTTTTCCTCTAAGGTCAAAATTCAGGTCGTCAGTTGTCACCAAACACAAGACAATTTAGACTCTCTAGTGGCCACTACATTTACCGATTCTAATGATGATCTTTAGTGGTAATTTATTAGTTGGCCAATCGTCGTTTTGAACGAAATTTTCTGTCAGACTAGTTCAGGGCACTGTTGTTCACTGTGCCAGCAACATTCTTACATATTGCATCGCTTTTCTGCAAGATAAGCTAGCTTTTTGCAAGCAGCTGCAAGACCTAAATAAAAATCATATCTAAATTTTTAAATATACTTTTATAAAAACGTTATTTCGAGCGGCTGAAAATGAACATCTTATATTAGCCTCTGATTACTCATCTTTCGTTTCATATAGGTGCTTTGCTGCTTTTCCCTGCTACTTTTCGAGATATGCGCCAGTAAACCACATGATGTAGGGGCAATTGTCACCTCGCCGCTCTACTGACGGCCCGGCGCTCTTTAAAGTGCTGAAATTTATGAAAAACCAATGCTTATAATCGAATAAAATATATGTCCCTGAGCTCAGAATTGATCAACGCACACAATGCTGTCAAAATTTTTGGGCCAAAGTCAATAATTCAGTCAGTACTAACCCCCAAACACAAGTCAGTGACAATCAACAACAAATTGCTCTTTAGTTAGACTTTTTGAGAAATGTTATTTCGAGCCGCTAAAAATGGCCGTGCCATACAAACCACTAATCATCTATCTGTCATGCCATACTCGCAGTTTTTGCCAATGCCTGCTACACTTCGAGGTCACGTGACCTCACCATTAAAAGTAAATGGGGAAATAAGAAAACTGTTGTTTTTGCGCATGGAATGATCTCAAACTATCTCAAGCACACGGTATCGTGATTTCATGCACTCTTTACAAGATCCGATGCTTTACTTGTGCATTTTTGACCTTCCGTGACGTCATTTATGACGTCACTAGGGTCATAGGGGTTTCTCGTCAATAACTCGTAATCAAATTAAGCCAGCGACTCGGGAAAGCCACCAATGGACTCGGGAAGACCTCCCGAATCGAATGATATGCGATACGACCTCCTTCGATAAGTTCGTGGCCTGATGGGCTCTGACCTGACCTTGACTCGAGGTCAACACCTTAAGTTGACCTCACCCGAACAAAAAGCATATCATTCGACGCGCCTGAGCCAGGCGAACACGACGGTGCCAAAATCGCTGCTCTGCGGCCATTTTTTTGCGAAATTATTTGCCAAAAACCAAACCCTACCTCGGACTTTTTGACTTGACCTCAGAGGTTACCAGTTGACCTGGGACCTTAAAATCGGGTATCAATCGTTCCGTCTTACAACGGCGCACACGCTTGTTTTTTCCGCGAGGCTCTAGCTCTATTAGGGGCGAAACGGCGAAAAGGGGTCATACCAACAGGGGTCGTACCCCATCGTCCTGCCGAGGGGGGGGGGGGGTTCCGACAATAGGCCCGGCGAGGGTTAAAGGTAGTGTGCCAGCTTTCTTGGACCGTATGGAGTTAATGGCCCAGATAAGGAGAACCGGATTTTTAGAACTTATCCATACCTTCAAAACTCATGGAAACGTCTTAAATTCTTCAAATTTTGAGTACCCCAGTGCGAAATTCGCCCCGACGGGTTGTCGGTCGTACCCCAACCACATTTCACACCACTATGAACAATAAATGCACACACTGAAATCGCTATTACCGATATGCTCATCCAATCAAGTTTCGATAAACCCGTTCATCATCATCTCCTGCGGTTTCGAACACGTCTGTTAGGTGGCTTCTGATGCTCGTCGAGGTCGGAATTTCCAAATACGCGTGGTGCGTCGGGCCGAGCGCTCTGACTTCGGCCAAGAAAAATGCGTCAGCTGATCATTGTCATTTCTGCCACTTGCGTGTGGTGAAATGGGGTCATAACTTATAAGACGGCTTTTTCATATCAATTATTTTACATAAAATCATATTTCAAACCATAAATAATGTTCGACAGCCAAATAAAAGAAACAATACAATACGGGCTTACAGTTTAACCCGCGAGTTGCTGGGGGGGGGGGGCGTTAAACGCCCCCACTTTTTTCGCCGGGCCATAGCATAAAAACGGCGCGCCGCAGGCGCGCCAAATTTTGGGTACCTGTAGGGAATTGATTGAAGTTTATTGTAACAAACTTTCAAAAAAATCGGTCGGAAAATTTTTGAGATATCGAGGTTTTAGTGACGTCATGATTTCTGAGTTTTCGACCAAAAACGGCATTTGTTCAAAAAATCATATAAAATCACAAAATAGACATACAGACATGCCGTAAACGCCATTAGACTGCCAATACCATGATCAATCAAATGGCTATCTTCGATTATTGATTATCGTTCCGCATTTTCCATAATCTTGAACTGAATCTTGGCAATTTTTCGTGACTACTTCACGACCATGATACATGAATTTCTTAAATTGAACTTTTTGAGCCAAACACGTACACATATGATAAAATGAATGTCACCATCGTGTTCTACGCCCCAAATTACCTGTAAAACATGTGTCACAGGCTGCGAATATCAGTTTTGATTTTCGGGGATATGTGCCTACCCGGTTGACCTGACCTTGACCCTGACCTATGCTTGACTGACCCCTACATGGAGCTGACACTCTTGTAGGCCTTATAAGATGGATTGTGCACCGTTTTGACAGAGTTTATGGCGAGAGGCGCCCATTGCGAAGTCCTGAAGTCCATGCTACTGAAAGCCCGATTTTAGGTGTTTGACCTGACCTTGACCCGACCCGTGACCTCAAAATTCAACTTTAAAGTACTCATCTGAAGCGTCTCGTCGCGCTCTTTCGTTTGCCGCCTAGTGCGTTTCGCTGCGCCTATTGGTTCTCGAGTTATCGGCTGGGGGCGTTTAACGCCCCCCCCCCCCCCCCAGCAAACGGTGGGTGGCGAAATACCCCAGCAACTGCCGGGTTAAGGCTCGACATTGTGTTGTCTACGATTAGACAGCTGATAACTCATTCCCGTACGTCGTATGGTCGTAACACTATAATGACCTTTGCTTATTGTCACAAGTGCGCCGCATTCGCGATTGTTGCCCGACGCCTGTTTGCAGGTGAGCCCACTACAGTTGTTATACATATCTAAAAACCGAAAAACTTTTAGGCGAAAAAGGCACTATTCCAGGCCCATTTTTGATTTTTTTTGCGATATTAGGTAAAAATAGAAGCTTCTTATCCTAGGAAAAATAAAATGGGAAATTTTTCAAAGGTGGCACACTACCTTTAAGCAGCCGCACTTCTTTTTTTAAGCATGTTTGCTTGTCACTGAGATCAACAATTCAATCATAAATAATTTCTAGCGCTTTTCCGGGCCGCTGGCCCAGTGTGCGACTGTCTTCTAAACCTGGGCGGCCCGTTGTCTGGGCCGCGGGCGGAGGTACTCTGCTGACACCAATGCACTGTTTGGCACACTGACAGCACGACAGACTGAAGCAGAGTGGACTGTTGGGGTTCGCTGCCCGCCGTCCCCGATGCTACGTTTCCCTCAGACTGTCTTATATTACGCTATCTACCACGTGCCCACTGTCTGCATATGTCACGCTGTCTCCCGTGTCTCCTCAGACATGTCTTGTGTCCACCTGACTGGATTGTCCTCAGACTGTCGGTGTTTGCTGTCTGCTGTCAGCCCTGTCCGTTGTCAGCCGTGTCCAAATTGTCTATGCCGTGTCCGCCCCAGCGCGGTTGTCTGAGTTCCGTCGCGGCACGCTTGGTGGCCGCCGCGGAAGGCCGCGCAGCCGGATGGACCGTCACCACCTGTCTGTAATGACCGCCCGTCGGCCAGTTCACACCGCCCACACCGCTACACGGCAGCTGAGGGAACCACCCACGGCGCTGACGGCAGCTCAGAGGGCCGGCCGCTGCGGGCACGCGCACGCGAAGCTAGGGACAGCGCCGGTTGGCTGTCCGCTGTGACGACAGCTATACGGAACAATAGACAGACTGAATGACCCTCTGTGACAGAATGACTGTGATAGAGGGCGGAGGACCTTGGTGACTAGTCGACGAACAACTTTCTTGTGCCTATGTGACCTAACAGCACCAATACCTAGGTATTTATTGTTTATGTGCTGCAGCTTTGGGGCTATTTTCATTTCATGCTCAACATTTGTAGGCGGCCAAATCGATTGCGGCAATTGGGTACTTTAAATCACGTGGTTGATAAATCTATATTTTGGTGTTGTTTCTTATAAATGTTTCTAAATGCAAGAACATGAAGCATAAAGACAAAAATATGAACGGTTTTCCTCCTGAATAGAGCCTTGTGCGATTTCAGTTGCAACGACCCGGATCCTTTTGTCATCTTAAATCGACGCAATTACTGCTCGCTGAGCAGTTCGGCAAACGTACATCAAACAAGGGCCAATCATCGCAGAAAATAAACGTAACACAATGGGGGATGCATGCATACAAAGCCGACTAGGAGCAGCGTTTACCGACTGCAATATAGGCGCCATAAATCAATACGCGGTTTTAATAAAGACGACTCGGCGGGGTTCCGTGGCGCGGTGCGCTCCCCTAATCTGGCGCAGCGGCTCATTAATTCGTCACCGGAGGCCGGCGGCAAATATTGGCGGCGCCAATAAAAAGGGGTAAAGGGGTGAGCCGCCGGCCGGGCAGCCGGCGCGGCGCCGGGCGCGAGCAGACCAAACGGTCGGCGGGGCGCCGGGAGTGCCGACCCGCTCGGTGCCGTCTTTTGTCTCGGTCCAGCGCTGTTAGTTCGCAGGGTACCTCGAACAAACGCCGATGACAAATGGCTCCCACTGCGACAGGATGGCGCCTGCCTGCGTAGCTAAATGTCCCTTTGAGCGTGTCAGATTGGTGCTAATTTGTCTCGCACATGAGCCTTTTGCCGTGCTGGAATAAGGGAACGCTGGGCGTCTTCTGAGTTCATGTCTTTATGCATGATCGTCGGCTTCATAATAAAAATTAAATTGCAAACACATGCATTATTCTGCCAAACAAAATCTACCCTTCCGTGACAGCTTGAGCTGTCATTCAACAGTCATGCCGCCATGATCAACATGCATTATTCCTCCCGTGATCAATGGGATGTTGACACCCGTTGACATCAGCTGTGTGACATATGTCTACCTGTGTCAGCGATCAGTCAGCCCGCTGCCCCGGTCACCGGTGAGTGATGTGGCCTGTTCGGAGCCGACTGGAGAGAGCACTGAGACCGATGGCTCCCCATGGAGCGTCTGATCGGGTGTCACCACGTGACAAACATACAACATTCTCATCGACAGACAGTCGACCTGTCACCAGACCCTTCAATCGACCGACGTGTCAGGACGTCAGGTGATCAGCTGACATGTCAAAGGGTGACAAATAGACAGCAGCCTGATCAGCAAACTGGAGCTGCTCAGAGACTCAGTATTCTACAGATCAGCCGACACATGTCCTCACGGCCGCATATGGATACACATTGAATCCCTGACCTCACGTCGATCACCACATCACTTCTCCAGTATTTGGAGCCCTGTGGGCGGTCTGGGTTGCTGGGCTGGTGAACCGTCAACAGGCTGGCTGTCACATCTGCCGTCCAGTCTCGATGGTCGCCGTCCGCCAGCGGCGCGGTGGAAGGAGGGCCGAGGCAGTCGTGCGGACAAGTCACGGACTACTAACGGTGGATAGAGTCATCGTCGGAACGGAGGGCCCAACCAGTCAGCCGGCGCTGATGGGCTAATTAACACCTGGTCGGCTAGACTGCTAGTGCTGAGCTCGGACACGTTCATAATGAGCACTGACCTTTGGCCGGCCTATCAAGCTGCCCTTATTCCATTGGCATTCTAATTCTATAATCATCCTTTTTTCGCCTAGGCGACAGAGCACATTGGCTTTGGGGGTTCTGTCTTCCAGTAAGCAGTATAAAGCATGTTTAGTTTGAGAATTAGCTCACACATTCTCATATGACACAGAGTCTAAAATGCCTGGCGTTACAAGAGTCTAAAATGCCTGGCGTTACAGAAACTTGTTGTCTTAGCTCTGTGGCCAGTGAATGATACTATCGTTCCTCTCCTCAGCCGCCGTCTACCGCTGTCGCTGCTGGACCGGCCCGGCGCACCTAGCCCCCTTACACCCCTCCCCCACACCTGGGACGACCGTGAGCTCGCCACAGCCCAGCCTCACCTGCGGTCGCGACAGCAGAGCGCATGCGCGTCGGCGGCGGACCCGTCTGTCTGAGTCTCAGCCGAGTCGCGGGCGGCAGTGCTGGCTGCCGCCCGGCGTTGGCGGCTCGGTATTGTGGGGTGGGGTCCGTACCGTCTTCGGCGATTGTGCTTGAGGGTTGGGCCAACCAGTGAGCTGACTGCGCGCAGCGGGATTCCGTTCTGAGGAGTGTGTATTGTAGACGTGGATCATTTACGAGAACGGTTCTTACTCGACTTGGCTACAGTGGGTGACTTGAAGAAGATGCGTATTTTTGTATTGTATGGCCCTGCAACCTGCTGGTGCCAAGTGGGAGGGGTCTCTGGCGAAGCCTAAAGCCAGTGATGGCTTGGGAAGCCCTGTGACATATGTGGATGGTTCTGTGATAGCCTGGGTCAGCGCTGTAACAGTGTAACGGCCAGCGGGACCGGCGCTTGGGGGTTAGCCCTGAGACAGCTGGGTGCCTTGTGGAAGCGGATACGCCCGTCTTGACAGAAGGAAGGATCCTGTGACTGCTGAAGCCTGCAAGAGGTCCGACTCCTGAGCCGACCGGGGCTCAGCCTTGTGGACGGTCCACCGTGGACTGTCACCCACCCCCGGCCCAATGCAAGAGCGGAGCGTCCACAACTGGGCGGCGGACTTCGGCAGCACGGTAAGTTTCTAACTCCCAATAGCATTACCTACCTGCTGCGATATGTCGGTACCGCAGCTCATTCAATTAACAACAGCATTCTGATCCACCGGTACGTTTATAATAAAAACTATAGTTGCAGATTCATGCCCGTCCTTTTGCGACCGTTTTACAGCCCTTATTTTATGCATTCCTTCAACCACCATAAGACCATCCTTTGTTTACTCGCACCCCATTCGAACTCGGTATTCTGATAGAGATCAGCCGGTGAATGTGACCCTCCAGCTCACACCTTGCCTCACACGTGGTACCGGCTCTCACGGGCACCGGACTGGCGGACGGTCAGCCCTAGTCCGACCGACCTACGGACCAGACAGTTCGGACCGTCTTGCGCCGCCGTCCCATGGCGATGGGAACTGTTGTTCACTGCTGAAATGGTGGGAATGGTCTGGTCATTCCGATCGAACTATCAGTTCATTCGGATCAGACATCGGCTCATCATTGTTCATTGCAAGTTTATTTTTATTTCACCCGTAATGGTCTTGGCACAGGGAATATATCGGCTGACCAATGAGTCGGGCTCACAAGCCGCATGAGTCACAACTCATTCGTTTCGTGGGCGTTAGAAGCTATAGTGGCTAGCGCCTGGTTAGTTTGAGCGAATTAAGAAACCGTGCAATCCAAACATTTTGGATACGACTTCGAGCTAGATGTAGGTATCCAGTGCAACACAAAGGGAATACCGCCTTCATCCATTTATCAACTGTCTTATGTCTACCTCGTGTTGTTGATCTCGGTGGCTGACGGCGGCCGGCTGGTGTCACCACCGCGCTGCCTCAACCCTCGGCGCTTTGGTGCATCCCTCGGTTCCCGTCTTTGCTACCGTGATGGATCGTGCCTTTGCGCCGATCGCTGTTAGCCGACAGAGCTGACCGAAGTGCGCCGTGTAGAACCATACATCAGACTGACTGGAAGGACCGCGTCCCTATCGGGCCGGCCGGTCCGCCTGCACGTTGTGTACACACGCTGCCTCGTTGCACGGCCCTTGTGCACGTTGCACATTGCACAGTGTACACGGCGTGGTCCGTGGTGGCAGCGTCACGCGAGTTGGCGGTCAGCCGGGCCACGCGGCGGCAGGGCCACGGAACGGCCCCGCTCAAGGACGCGACTGGAACCGTGGGGGACCGAGGTGGGACAGACAGGTACCGAAGTGGGATCAAGGTGGGACCGATGGCAGAGACCGGCAGGGTCAGACTCAGAGGCTGGGTCGACCGGCAGGGATCGACGTTGATGCTTGCCATATCATATGAATAAGATTTAGACGGCGCCGATTGCTGCCGTGGATTTACACGCTTTGGTCTACCATGTCAAGCTACGAGTATGTTATATCCGCTTACCTACATAGGTACCATAAAGGTGAGGTGGTGAGACTGGATAAAACGCATTTGTCACACAGATTATAGTAGTAACCTTAGATTATAAAATACATGGTACGGTGCGTCCCAATATTCTTTCAGTCCAAATTGCAATGGTTGCGGCTTAGCACTTCCATTCTACTGACGGTGACGATTCATGACACTACCTAAGTATTTATTCGTGTGCGAATTTGTTGTGTCCCACGGCCACGCTCTAAAATGTTCTGCACAATAGATTTTAGCCACCCTCGCAGGGCTGTTTAGTGCCCAACATGAATGTATTATCTGCTTAACCCGCGAGTTGCTGGGGGGGGGGCGTTAAACGCCCCCACTTTTTTCGCCGGGCCATAGCATAAAAACGGCGCGCCGCAGGCGCGCCAAATTTTGGGTACCTGTAGGGAATTGATTGAAGTTTATTGTGACAAAGTTTCAAAAAAATCGGTTGGAAAATTTTTGAGATATCGAGGTTTTAGTGACGTCATGATTTCTGAGTTTTCGACCAAAAACGGCATATGTTCAAAAAATCATATAAAATCACAGAATAGACATACAGACATGGGCGCCGCCACCGGGGGGGACGGGGGGGACGCGTCCCCCCCACTCTCAGAATGGAAGGGGGACGTCCCCCCCAAACTCATTACGGAGCGAGCGAAGCGAGCGTAGTCTTTCGTAGGTTAACGGAAATTTCTGAGTATGCCGTGGTCACGCTTTTGCTAGGCTTATATCTCAGCAACCACTTGACAAATTTACATGCGGTAATTTTTGTAGGGTAGCACTGATTCATTCCTTCTAACGAGCATCGGACTATTCCCGATGCATGTGAGTGACCCCATAGCAACGTGCCACGTGAAAAACGAAGAGGTGTCAGTTTTGTAACAATTTCAATATCTCGGCAACTACTGGGCCGATTGCGCTGAAACTGTTGGCATGTAGGTAGGTATACCCACTAGGCAATGCATATCCATGTGCCACAGTTGGGGTGCTGCTGCACGTGCGCACATGCAGGGGTCGATTCCAGATCTCGAGAACGGCTGAACCGATTGTGCTGAAATCTGATATACATGGTTAGGGACCGGTTAGTAGGGTGCCGTGCAAAAGTCAGTTTGGACTTTGGATTGGACCCATTTTGCACGTGCGCACGTGCAGGGTGCCGCTTCCAGATCTCGAGAACGGCTAGGCCGATTGCGCTCAAATTTGGCACATCGTTAGGGACCGGTTAGAAGGGTGCAGTGCACAAGTTAGTTGGAGGTATCCCCTCGCAATTTCGCACGTGCAAGGCCCACCCCACCCTTTCGCTCGCTCCGTTGGTCGCCCCAAAAGGCGTTTTACTGGTTGTTATCCTACATACTCGAAATTTCCAGCTCTTATTCGACCAGTCATCGCGGAACTGCCGATTTTTGATATCGTGATCAACGTGTGTCGTATAACACGACTGGCCGAACACGGGCCTAATATATTTCGTCTAACCAGCCAAGAACATGACTTTACACTAATCCGACCTCGAAGTCAAAATCCGAACATTTTCGAAGACTTCAACTCCGACTCTGGCCAAAACTGGCCAAAACAGTCAACTCCGACTGATTCCGGCTCCGACCTCACACTTCTGCAGTCACGCTACACTAAATTTCGAGCTTCTAAGAAATAAGCTATACGGTTGCAGGACCACAAAACTTTGAGGCGACTTGACTACTTGACTTGGTTTTCCTGACCTAAGGTTTTCTGGTATCAAGCTTGTTACACGGGCTGCACAATTCGTATTTTGGAGCAGTTTTGCCAAATGTTTTTTTGCCAATTTTCGCGGCGCTTCGCGCCGATTCGCGCACAAACCAAAGACAGATTTGTGACTATACAACGCCCCCTCCCCCACGCGGCTATGCAATATGCATTACCTATGCAATATGCATTATCGATCATACCTATTAGTGGCATACATCAGCAATTATATCGTTATAGAACACGAGGCTTTGCCGTGTCAAACTGAATCGGACATCAGATGTGTATATCTATATAGGTAGGTACTCGGTGGGAATGCGGTCTATAGCCATTACTTTAAGGAAATACCTAAACATGGGTGTCCATTTCCGCCAAGTCCGAGCTCTCCAAATTCTCGGCCGGCTTGGCTTTGGAGCCTCAACAGACCGCGCGGGTCAAGGTCAACGCTAGGGCGGCGGCGGATTTGCTGCGCCCGGGCACCCCAACTCGGTAGAAATCGACACCTGTGTACCTAAACTACTTTCCTCAAACCAGTTGTTTTGCCACAGTTTTATGAGTTTTTAAACTTAAAATGGTCAGGAAATAATGAATATTTGCAAAAGGATTTTATATTTATTTTTACATCACTATTTTCCACCTTTCGTAGAGGCTACTTACCTACCTATATTGCAGCGGAAGCTGATTACGCGTTGACCAAGCATAGTACGTAGTTCAAACCAGCTGAATGCTGATTGGCTCGCATTTTTCCGTAAGGGAATGGATTCCTCGGTAAGAGAATGACAAAGTGTAATCTATGGGGATGACTTCAGTCTCCAAACTTAAAATCGATACCGATATATTTGGCTAGGGTGATCGTTGGGCCATAAAAGCTCCTGATTTGTTCTCGTCTCAGCTCAAGCTACAAAACTGTTACTTCAGTTCAAAACCCTATGTTAAAAGTGGCATATTTGCTTTAAACGTTGAATGCATCCGACCGAAAAAGCCACGGTAAGAATGTCTACTTTTGGGTTTTCAGTCGGTCAGTCCGTCCCCCCCAGTTAAAAATCCGTGGCGGCGCCCCTGCATACAGACATGCCGTAAATGCCATTAGACTGCCAATACCATGAACAATCAAATGGCTATCTTCGATTATTGATTATCGTTCCGCATTTTCCAAAATCTTGAACTGAATCTTGGCAATTTCTCGTGACTACTTAACGACCATGATACATGCATTTCTTAAATTGAACTTTCTTAGCCAAACACGTACACATATGATAAAATGAATGTCACCATCGTGTTCTACGCCCCAAATTACCCATAAAACATGTGTCACAGGCTGCGAATATCAGTTTTGATTTTCGGGGATATGTGCCTACCCGGTTGACCTGACCTTGACCCTGACCTATGCTTGACTGACCCCTACATGGAGCGGACACTCTTGTAGGCTTTATATGATGGATTGTGCCCCGTTTTGACAGAGTTTGTGACGAGAGGCGCCCATTGCGAAGTCCTGAAGTCCATGCTACTGAAAGCCCGATTTCAGGTGTTTGACCTGACCTTGACCCGACCTGTGACCTCGAAATTCAACTTTAAAGTACTCATCTGAAGCGTCTCGTCGCGCTCTTTCGTTTGCCGCCTCGTGCGTTTCGCTGCGCCTATTGGTTCTCGAGTTATCGGCTGGGGGCGTTTAACGCCCCCCCCCCCCCAGCAAACGGTGGGTGGCGAAATACCCCAGCAACTGCCGGGTTAAATGGCTCCTCTTTACCACTGTTTTACGTGTTCAAGACACCTGGCTGACTATTCGGGAGCTTTTGTCCAGAATAGCACCGCAGTTCATGTTCAACAGAACGTGCAAAACCCCATTTCCTGCTCCTTGAAATGCCTCTTCACACAGAACATGCATGCCTATGG